GTGTGTGTGTGTGAGTGTGTAAGTGTGTGTCCCTCTCTCGTGCACATACATACGCGCGCTTGCTTTTGAGTAAACACACATGCATGCCACTAAAAATGTACGATACTGATGCTGCCTTTTTATTCCTTGTTCTATTTTTTCACCCTCCACCTCCGCAACATGATGGCGCAGTTCGTTTGACTTCCACAGTTTATTGCTTGATTCAACATAGTCGTTTTCATTATCTAAAACCTAACCAATCAACAACAAAAAGAGAAGATAGAAATGCATAACAAAGGCCGCTTTTTCGCAGGGCCCAAATTCTACTTCACTTACTTTTTTTTTTTTGGTCTCTGTGATAATACTTGCATTTGTGGCATAATGATCCAGCTCTGCTGTGAATGTAACAGACGTGAGTTCGTTTCTTAGTGATGGCAACTTGGCGGAAGGGTGGATACTTTGATAGAGAATGACTTTTTCGGTCAGAATTATTAATCCACAAAACCAGGGTCGACGTCGTCGGCCTCTCAATGATCTAAACTGTGTCAAAAGAGGTGCAAAACATTCACATTCAACAAATAAAACAAAGGCGCAGTTCGTTTGACTTCCACAGTTTATTGCTTGATTCAACATAGTCGTTTTCATTACCTAAAACCTCACCAATCAAAAAAAAAAGAGAAGATAGTTTTTCCCAATTACCAAATGCATAACAAAGGCCGCCTTTTCGCAGAGCCCAAATTCTACCATTACACATGTAACACACAGTCAGGGAAATCGTTTGCATGGCGAAGCGGCATAGAAGGAGATGGCAATCAGTTTTCACATCAACACAAACACAGGAGGAAAACCATTAAAAGATCAAACATGGCGAAGCTAAAATGAGATGTCGCAGTAACCCTATCACACATAATTGTATAGAATAGCCTTTTGGAAAAGATAAATATACCAAACATGGCGAAGCTGGACACAAGACGTGGCAGAAAAACAACAGCAGAGAATTGTACAAAAAAGTCCTATCATCCACTTTGTGACGTCATGGGGAGTGTGTGAGACGTGAGAGATCCGCCTCCTGTAACTCGTGTTAGGTTTCAGTCATGCGACAATGGCGACGGTCACGCTTTGCTTGAGGCTGAAAGCTTCCTAGGAACACCCGGGATTCGTTCCCTGTTTCCTTGATCTCTCTACACTAAACCACATTAGACCTGTCAGTATTCTGTTAACATATTGGAAGCTTACCATTCCTTTATTTCTTTCTAGAAAAATGAAGTATTGGTGTCAATGCGATTTTAAAATGTCCACTAACTTTTAACCCTAACCCTCATGGTAAGAGGATATAATAATTCTATCGTTCAAAGATAACCACTTCCTCCATGTTTTTTTAAGGGGGATGTCATATTATATGATGTGTGTCACTTTGAAAACTGTTTAAACTCCCGAAGGTATTACAGATAAATTTGACTTTTGATTGAAGATGTTGTTATTTTTTCTTTCAGAGCAGTTTGTATTTTCGCATTTCGGCAGAGGTAACCATGAACATGACCAATCTCCACTTGCATTGTACAAGTACGACTAAGAAAGAAAAATGCTCTTTATACGCCTATTGCACCGTACACGGCTCCTACGGTATACGCTGAATGTGGCAAAATGGTTTTTGGCTCCATCATAATACAAAAAGTTAACGTCCTGAGTCTTTCTTCAATCCCCCTCTTTGGGTTAGTTGGCTACATTAAGCTGACAGACTTTCATAAGCAAAGCCACTGGAAAAAAATAAACAAACAAATCCACCCCCCAAACCCCCCCCCCCCCCAACAAAACAACAAGAACAATTTCAGTTAGGACTTGAAAGAACAAAAGGGTAATAGTGAAACATTGTTTCGAGGATTCAGGGAGTAATTCGATTTTATCGGCTTTGGTAACAGTAGCGTCGTGAGCTCTTCTTGGTTTTACAAAAAAAAAAAAAAAAAAAAAAAAAAAAAAAAAGAGGGCAGGGCTCGGGATCTGGGGCACGGAGAGTGAGAGAAACACAATGTGCTTTGGGGAAAAAAGCACGTAAGTCCCACTCGTCCCCAGACACGAAGGAGCAAACAGACATCTGGATGGGCGTGGCCACGATCTGTGGTGACATCACGGCTGGCGGCAATTAAAACTTTGGAGACATTGACTGGATGCAAGCAAAGCTGGAACCAAATTATGTCAACTTTTCAAAGGAACTGACGAAGGTGTCCATGTTCTATCGGATCACGTTTGACTACACGTCTGCTTCCTCTACTCTGCCTTCACGTTTTATTTAATCGTCTAAGGAACGCGGGGGAAGGCAAAGTCGATTTCAAAAACGTAACTCAAGCTTGTTAACACCTGACCCCTCTTCGTCCCCTCTCCCTGATATAATTTAGTAGCCTAGGACAGACAAAGTCAACACACATATCTCAGTGGCATTTGGAATTAAAGGGTTTTCCGAGGAGTGTCTTTATCTCAGATCTTAAGGACAAACGACAGGAAATGTGAAACACAAAAGGGAAGCAACACACGTGCGAAAGGAAAAGATAAATATGTGAATTGAAAAATACACTGGCGAGGAGCAAAGTTCAATAATGCTCTGAAAAAGAAACGACAGCCGGGGGCTGATCTTGTTAAAAGACAAACAAACCCGAAACACAAGAAGAGAGGAGAGGAAAAGACATGACTAAAACCAAATTAAAACAAAGGTGAGAAGAGGAGAAGATTTGACGATTTCGTTAAATAGACCAATACATTTTTCATTTTTGAAACACATTGTACGTTTTATCAGCGTGACCTAGCAGCTGACCCCACTCCCTTTACTAATCGTTTTCTTGTTGAACTTTGGCAGTTTTATTTCCGCTGAGACACAATAATGTTTGCGTTATCCTCCCAAAGACGGCATACATTTTCGTGCAGCAATAATATTCAAGGTTCTTTAAAAGCACAAATGAAAGAGGATATTGAGGCGTACATTTGTCTTGAAATATAAAGTCGAATTTTAGAATGAGAAAAAGAGCGAGAGAGAGAGAGACGAGAAGAGAAAAAGCGTACAAGCGGTAAATTTTATTGATTTTACAATGTAATAATGCTTTTCCCCAGACTCAAGAAAAAACAAACAGACAAATAACAACAAACGAATGCTTTGACAACTAAAATAACATTTCCTGAAACTCAACAACAAAGCTAAATGCACCCCACACCCCCAAACCCCCCTTCCTTTGCAATCCCAAAAAGAAAGTGACACAAAACAAAGCAAAAAGCACACGCGACAAGACAGCATTAGGAGAAAACGAGCGAAAGCATTACCAGGGAAATAATTTTGTTTCTGTTTCATCACAGATTAACTATTTGTAACACGAGGGAAAATTTGAAAAGATTCCTTCCCTCACCTCACCCGTCCCCTTCCCGGAGCTCTCCATTTCGTCTTCATAACATGATAGCATGATAGTTAATATTATTTTTTCCCTCCTTTTTTGTCCCCACCACACACCTTATGAACATAGGTACCATTTATAACAGGAGAATCTTTGATCTCCTCTTAGACTGCAGCAGGAAAGGCAAATCGAGAAAAAAAAATCACTTTCTCCGTTTCCGTTTTTATATTTTTATACATGTACATGTAATTCTTTTTGTTTCAATAGCATTTCAACCCTCCTCTTTCTTAAAATAAAGCACGAATAATTTTGAAAATAACATAATAGCGCATGTTTCTTATTCGCGGGCCTTTAGTAAGTACCGTAATAGAATATAACAGCAGCGTGTATTCTTGTGAATGGTCTTTGAACCTTTATGTTTACTCAGGGAGTGTCACTCTTTCTTTACACCTTCGTATTCTACAAGACTGAAACAAACGGGATTGTTTAAAAATGCTTTATCGGGCTCTCATTATGAAACGTCAGTTCAGGATGTTCGATCTTAAGACACCAAGTCTCTACACTCCTCTTTGCACCCTCCCCCTGCCCCCAAATATAAAAAAAAAAATCCCCGCTTCCACTCACTCCCCCAAAACAAGAAAAGAATCTGTGGAACACCTTCTTTCTTCAATCTGCCCCAGCTTAAAACGGCTCCACCTCCACACGTTTCATCCAACATCCCTTCAGTTTTTGGTCCATGTTCGCATCCTTCCTCCTCATTTCGACCTCCCAAGGACATCTCCAGATCTTGAGTACGTGGAACCGAGCTCAATTTAAAATGAAGAGATGGGGGTATTGGACAAGACCAAAATAGCAGTATCGCATGGACAAGTTCAATGAGGTGGAAAAAAAACACACCGACAGGAAGATTAAATGAGTGTCAAATCTGTGCGGCGTTACTTGTCCTTTGCGCGGCGTTCTGTTTTTTGTCAATACGTCAATGTACTAAGACCGCTTCTGACGTTGAATTTGATGAGGTCATTTCTTTCTGTGTCCAGGTTTTTGTGCCTATTAGGTGGGTTCCAGGGCAGGGGATGGGCGTGGTCACAAGCACGTTTATACGTAATGTGTACGTCTATAGTGTGGTGCTGCCGAAAAAACGGTTTTATACACTTGTACTCTAAGAACAAGGGAAACAGTATTGGCAGGCTCGTTGAGGATTTTGGAAAGTTTATTAAAGTTTTGAGGATGTCTTTACATTTCGACTTATCCAGATCATCAGGTGGTATGCTGAAGTGAATTTTATCACCACAGTAATAACTCACTGAGTGTTACGTTGTGTGCGTGTAGAAATGTGAGTGTGTGTTTGTGTCGCAAGCTCTTGTATCCAGACTAGCCTACATATTGCATTATTTAGAAAGAAGCGAGCTGATATTATGTCGACGGTAAATGTATGTTCACTAATGTGTTTACAAGCACGTTTATACGCAAACATATGTCCATATTCTGATACTTCTAAAGGAACCAGAAACAATTAATTTATTTGCAGGTAACGAGGCCGCCAGATATAGCTCGGCGTGTTTCATTAAAAAGTGTTATTTTTAGAAGTTAAAAAGGGAAAACCTTGTTTCCCGCGCACCACTCTTACAGCCTCAAGTTTCTCCCCCTATCACCTGATGCCTTTTTAAAGTTGAACTCCAGGGCGGCCGGATCTGCTGCTCGGCATCCCAAGAGATGCCATATGTCACGAGGGGACGTAGACATTACCGAAACGGCACACACTGACTTATTGCTGCAGGAACATACCGACTCCTCATTTCATAGAGACTATTTTAGATAATATAAAACTGACAGGGATTAAAAGCGGTAAATAGGTTTTGAGGAACAGAGCAGGGGTTACTACTGATAACATTGCACGAATGTAGAAGACCACAAGTTATGCATTATTTTCTTTAATATAATATTTGCACTATAATACACCCTTTTCGTCCTCTAAACAGCATTGGAAGTTGTACATAATCATTTACAGACTGGATTCTGTCATGATGGAATTCAAAATGTGGTGACAGAGCATAAGATCTTGTTTACTTGAGATGTTTGTACAAATACAAGAAAGAGCAAAGACGTGGACAGTGAGTAAAACATTGACAACATTATATGCGCTTCTTCTGTTGATGCTAATGAATTTGTAAACATCCCTCTCACCACACCCTCTTTTCACCCCCAACCAACCCATTTTCAGAGTCTTAATTGGTAACATCAATAATCAAAAAGACGTATCGAGCAAGCGTTGGGATTCTTGTGTACTGTGTAGGACGTAGGAAGCAGTTACTTCCCTATCCGGACAAAAGAGGATTGTCCGCCCCTGGATCCCCGCCGGTACCCTGCCCTGCGCCCGAGAGCGGGCTCCACCATGACGTCAGAGTTCTTGCCGATGCGGACAAAAGCGGAGGATGGGATTTTCCCTATTCTGACAAACGCATGCGCTCTGCTCGCCACGCTGATCGGCTTATCGTCATCAAAAAGAACACCGTCCCCTAGGCTTTCTTCAGACGATGATGAGTCGGAATGTGAAGATGAAGATGAGGGCGAGGATAGAGAAGACATTGAGGATGACGACCCAACGGACGACGGTTGTGCCGGTGCCCCTGGAGATGACAAAGCTTTGCCGATTCGCACGAAGTTTGAGGCCCTCTTGTCGGAAGACAGTGCACCTTCGCCATCAGCTGCGTTGTCCATGCCCGATTTCCCGATCCGGACAAAGCTTGAGGCTCGCTTCTGACCGTCGTCCGTGCCGTCTACGCTGAGATGAGGGCCGGAATTGTCCCCGGACTTTCCAATTCTGACGAAGCTGGACGCTCTCTTATCCTCCCCGTCACCGGACTTTCCGATTCTGACAAAACTAGAGGCGCGTTTGAGCATGTCTTGGCTGTTGAAATCTGCGGGGCTGAGATCATCATAGCCGAGAGAGCTTCCAAGATCGTACCCGATGTTTTTGCCAATACGGACGAAACTGCTGGCTCTCTTTTCCGCAAAATCTTCGTCATCAGGCAATTCTGACTTGCCGATGCGGACAAAACTGGAAGGGTTGCGGCCAATACGAACAAAGCTCGAAGGATTTCTGCCAATTCTCACAAAATTTGAGGGAGCCTTGCCGATTCTGACGAAGTGAGATGCGCGTTTGATGGCGTCTTTGAGCGAGGCCAGTTGGTCAACGGGGGTTTTCCCGATCCTCACAAAACTAGACGCGCGTTTGTTGTCGTACTGGTCCTCACTGGCGTCATCGTAAACCTCGTCACCTGATCTGCCAATACGGACGAAGCTGGACGGCCGTTTGCCGATTCTGACGAAGTGAGACTTTCGTTTTTCTGCTTCGGGCTCGTCCCCATACATCCGGTTATAGTGGTCATCTACGTAACTTCCGTAGTCAGACATCCTGCCAATTCGGATGAATCTGTGTAGAGGTAGGTTGCTTCCTCGTCCTATCCTCACAAAGCTAGACGCCTTCTTTTCCATCTCATCAGCGTAAGGGTCGTCTCTCAGATAGTCCTGCTGGCCAGCGTCGTTCTCGTCAAAGCTCCCGTCTCCTCCAACATCTTTCCCGATCCGGACAAAACTGCTAGGGCGACCGATCCGCACGAAGTTGCTCGCCCGCTTCTCTCGAGACTCAGCCGAGTCCGTGACGTCAGCCGGACTCGTGGCCTTGACCGTTGAAGCGTCGTCCTCAGCGAGGATTGCAGACGGGCAGAAAGACATGAAGCAGACGACACACAGGAGTAACGGTATCGCCATGGCCCTGTAGGACAAGGTCGGTCGAACGGCAGCCATCTTGGTATCACTTACCGCTTAGGCTGGACTCAGGGTCTCGGAGTACTTGATTCTATGTGTGAGATTTGACGAGATTTGGTTCTGAGGAAATACAAAACAAAAATAAAATAGAAGGATGTGTGGAGTGGTAGCTTTCGGGGAGTTAGAGTGCACGATAATAATACAAACAATGTAATAATAA